TACTATGTAATTGTTTATACAAATCCTTACAAAAAAATGTTAATTATATAGTAAAAGATTGCACCGCCATTCTTTTCGCGGACTGTATCCGGATACAAACACTATTTCATACAAATTGAAAGAATCACCTCCTAATATGTCAAAAAAAAGAATATTTTATTTTTATATTGTTATACTGTCACGAATACCGTCACGAATACTGTCAGATGTTTAGTACTTCGATAATGTCAATTGACTGACCGTCAATATGATTGGTCTAAAAATTTTTGGATCGTCGAACTGATATTTGTCACCCTGAATCGCGTGTTATTTACAAAAAAAGACCTTCCTAAAGATGCAACAACTTCCTCTCGAGTGTCTTAACGCTGTGCAGTATCGAGGTAAGACAATTATACTTTTTGGCAGTGCTCTATGGCAAGTTATTAACCTGCCATTTAAATGTAGCTTTTTGGGAGAATACAGAAAACCCTACACTCCTAAAATTTTTGAACTTTCGACTCTCCGCCGGCGATCTGGGAGATAAAAAAACGGAATATAATCGCTACAACAACGAGTTAAATACAATAAGTAAATACTACGTAGAAATGTCTGAAATGGGACAAGAGAAAGCAAAATGGAAGGGTACTTTTAAGGAAAGTATATTGTTTTTTTAGAGCACTTTGGTAGTCATGGTAGCCCGAGTACATCGACTACCCTGCAACCCTTCGTGTTTGCAGTGGGAACGTCCTTCGTGCCTGTTGATGAGTAATACTCAATGGCGACAATCAGAGTGCATCGACTACCCTGTAACCCTTCGTGCTTGCAGTGGGAACGTCCTTCGTGCCTGTCGGTGATTAACATTCAACGGACTACCTTGGGACCCTTCGTGCTCGCAATGGGAAAGGCTGTGCTTGTCCGTGATTGTCCTATGACTACCAATTCTTATATGTGTGATAAGGCACCATGTACTTACTAATTCTTTCCTCCCTTTTTAAAAAATAGAATGATAAAAAGACAAAGTCGATAAACCATTTCTGGGAACTTCAAGACGTCAGTACGCAAGCGAGAATGGCGGAAGAGAAATCGAGGGCTGAAATTCGAATGTTGCAGGTATTCATTATCTATACAATCTAACATGCTATACTAAACATTCATTCTTGATCTTATTTCCCATACACAGGCGGCCCAACACGTAACTATAGCCACAGTTACAACAGATCAAGTTCAAAAATATGCTAAATCAACTACTACCAAAATCTCGAAGAAATTCCTTGATGCCAGAACTTATGAGGTGAGGTTTTATTGTTGCTTGTTATGACTCAAGTTTGGTCATTAACTGATTACTTGATTACTCTTTGCAATACGAACAGGAAAGTGATTACAATTATAATACCGAAAATAATCATTTATTTTTATCAGATGAAAAATCGTCAAATGTCTCTACCCAAGATAAATTCTCTCCCATTGATAAATCATCCGATGATGAATTTGAGGATGATGGAGTCCATGTTGATTACAAGATCGATGAGATTAATAGTGATGATAGTGGAGAATTTCCCAACAGCCTATTAGGTAAAAATGATACGAAAGATGGTAAGAGGGATTTAATTAGACATTTAATCAATAACCTTGGCTTTACACAATATGTTGGACCCACATAGCGATTTTAACGAAGCACTAACCAATACCACACGCGAGACTATAAAACCTGGTGATCATTCAAACTTGTCTATACATTACATATTTAACTTTTTCTCTGTGATTCGGAATAATAGCCTTGAAACAGAAGTCAAGTGAGAAAGAAACAATCATAGGTGCTGAGAATCCGTTTTTTGTATATGAACACGATTCGAACGGTGCAACCGTTAATCAGGACGAGGTATGATTTTTTAGTTATCAAGTGTGGTAACCCTATTTTTTTTACGTTAAACAGTTAAGTGAAATTCGATTTTGAGATCAATTATTAATATCTCTAGTACCGTTAAAGAAAAGTACTCACAAGCGGTTATTTTCTGAGATTGGTGATGACTTACCTTCATCCCATATAATGACGGTAATGGAAAAATACCGTGCAAAATCAACAACCTCAAAATACGAGTAAGTTTTGTTCTTGATAATAGATCCACTACAGATTACGTTTATTGAATAGTTTTAAGTCTTGTTATTTTTGTGCAGTCTTGTGCACAGCTTTATTTTAGATCTCACTCCCTGTTCACGGATAGAAAAAGAGTTCGAACCCGGGCTGAAGAATTTAATGATGAAGGAAATGAAGATAGCGTGATCACACGTACCTTTGTTCTAATTCTTCCTTCGGCTCGTTCCAAAAATGTTGCCATTAAGAATACCCTCAATCGCGTGCAGAATGAGATTGATCCCATAATCTGGCCACAAATTGACAGTCATCCAGTCAATGAATTTCAAACACCCGGTTATATTACATGCGCATTTCCAGCCCTTTATCCAACTGGAAGTGCAGATCTTTGTGCAGAACGTATCAAGGAAGTCAAACCGGCTGAATACTTCAAGCACTTACTCCAATACAAAGATGGAAGATTCGCCCGCCATACTCGTTGGCGATATTTCACACTGAATTCTCAAATGAGATAGCGAGCCCTACAGGAAGGAAAAATATATGTTAAGCAAAATTTGACTGATAATCAGATTACTGTTAAAGATATTCAAGA